AGTGGGGAGATGTTCATGAAATGAGATGATTCAATGTAAACATCATCAATTTATCATTTGTTGGTGTACGAGGGTTGTCCGGTAAAATCGTGGACAAGTTTTCTAGAGTGAAAAATAATCATCACTGTGTCCTAAAATTTTCAATACTCTTTTAGTACATTTTTCATCAATATATACATGTATAGCAAATTTCAAATAGATACATGCATAAATAAACAAATTATGAGATTTTATGTTATGTGTTGTATCGCCTTACGGCGCACGGATGATAACGTCAAAGTGTCTAAAGCACCGTCACGTTTCCTCTTTGCTAAAAAAAGTTGGATAAGTCCCACTTAAATTTAAGAATTTTATTGAGGCACATACTTGAGTTTCCCTTTATTCTTCCATAAACAGCCGAGGAACCAATCTCACACACACATGGGACCTTCTGAAGATTTATTAGTAAGTTATGGAAAGTATTCTCACCATTATTCAACTATATAGGTAATCTTATATCAACGGTCTACAGTGACATAATCTTTCGCTATTACCATAGCTGTTTGTATGTTTTGTTTTCTCGGGGACTCGATAAAAATGTTTTGCTAAGAAAACTCCCATCTCACTTGTATACTAAAGGTCTATTCATATATTTTTTCTTCTTTATTCACTTTAAGTCTCTTAGGGCGTCATTACTGCATCTAAACAAACTGAACTGCTCTCTGGTGAACCTTAATGTCATCAAACGTCACCATTTTTCGTATGTTGTGTTTACGACTTTCGCATTTCGAATACTTGACGAGAAACTTCCAAAAATTAAGCAAATACCCTGATTTTTTCTAAAAGACGACACAATAAATAGTAGATTAAAAATAGGACAGTTTTAAACGCCAGTCTTATCTATTTAATACTTTTATTTTGAAATAATACTCATGTATTCTCTAATGAAACCCTGGTTTTTTGATCATGTGCCGTAGGACTGTACCCTATGCACATTTAAGTATAATAAAATCTTTATTTTTGACTGTCTATAATTTATCAGAAATATTAAGATGCACTTAAATATGATAAAAAGAACATTTGTTGAAATTTTCAGCTTAGTGCGCCATTTTTTTTTTCTCGAGAAAATGCTTTGTCCACGATTTTACAGGACAACCCTCGTAAAATATTTTACAATCTTAAAATGATTGTCCATTATATGTTTAAGTATGAAATTTTTATGTTAAAGATACTTGATGAGGAATCTGAGATTTCTGAAGCCAAAAATATGTGTAAAGTAACAACATCAGGAAGTGGTGGCGTTGGTAATATTAACTTCTATTTTATTTAACAGTGTGGAATCATTGATTAAAATAATAATTTCTATGTTAAGTTTATCTCATTTAATAAAGATTTGTATTTCCTCACAGAACAAAGGATTTATTTATTGAGATATATTTCATAGACAACAGTTATAAAATACTCTATTAACCTTCCCATAAAATTACAAAATTTTTCCTCTGTAGATAATTTTGTCAAGATTGTAAAGTTATTACAAGTTGGAACTGATGCAGTGAGAATTTGTTTTGATAAATTCTTTCCTAAAGAGGATTTAGAGAAGACATTAAAAGATAATGAAACAGATATGAGGAAAGGACCTTACCGATTCAAACCACAGGAACTAGCAATTCTCTTCCCTAATCAAGGTAATTAACATGATTCTCTGTTACTGCAATAATCTAGAATTGTTTGTGCATTATATGTTTTTTAATGTTAAATACCATAAGTAAAAAATAATAATATAGATCAGTATATGAATTTGAGTAAATAGTAAGTTTTATCAGTTGTTCTGTAATTAAAAAAAAAAAAAATCAGAGGAATATTGTCTTTAGCTTTGCACTAACAGTCATGAATCATTTTTTCTTCCATAGGTATTAAGTTCATACTTTATAATTTATATGTGAAGTTTTTTAAAGGGGCATAGTCACAGTTTGATCAATATCTTTTTTTCAAGTTTTATTTTTTTCAACTTCGACGAATTTATTGCCTTTATTTAAAAAATGTAACAAGGATAGACAGATACAGGGAGTTTTATCAGAATCTGTTCACTAATGTTGCAATTCTAAGAAATCTCAATTTCTGCTGATATTTACAGGTTCTTTTTAATTTATATCTAGAAATATGTTGGAGATTTACACACTGAATTTTCGACGGATTTTTCCGTTATTTCCCGATCATGACAAGGAGCACACGGTGGGTGTGACCGGTCGGCAGGGGATGCTCACTCCTCCATGGCACCTGATCCCACCTCTGATGTTTGGAGGTCCGTGTTTGCTCTGCTCCTATTTTGTATTGTGTAATGGCCTTTTGAGCTTGAATACTGTTCGTTATCTCCATATATTTCATATATACGGTAACTGAATTGACAAAATCAAAATGGCATAATAAGGTCAATTTGTATACCATACTTCATGAATACCGAATTCCCGATCTTATAGTAACAAATCCTGAAAATATGACAGAAAAAAGGCATGGCATATATCAAATCCACCAAAGCTGCAAAGCATTTTTAGCTCACCTCTACGAAGTCGAGATGAGCTTATGCTATACCCCCGGCGTTGGCGTCGGCGTCGGCGTCCCAGGTTAAAGTTTTAGGAGCAAGTCCCATTCCCAAGTAACTATAAGCCCTACCTGGACCAAACTTGCATGGATGATGCATCTAGGGATGGACACTACCAAACTTGCTTCGGATGCTGGATCTGACCTAGATTTTTCGGATGAGTGACCAGGTTAAAGTTTTAGGAGCATGTCCATTCCTAAGTAACTATGAGCCCTACCTGGATCAAACTTGCATGGATGATGCATCTAGGGATGGACACTATCACACTTGCTTCGGATGCTGGATCTGACCTAGATTTTCCGGATGAGTGACCAGGTTAAAGTTTTAGGAGTAGTCTCATTCCATAGTAACTATAAGCCCTACCTGGACCAAACTTGCATGGATGATGCATCCAGGGATGGACACTACCACACATGCTTTGGATGCTGGATCTGACCTAGATCTTCCACATGTGAGACCAGGTTTAGATTTAGGAGTAGTCTCATTCCCAAGTAACTATAAGCCCTACCTGGACCAAACTTTCATGGATGATGCATCTAGGGATGTACACTAACCAACCTGCTTGGAATGCTGGATCTGACCTAGATTTTCCACATGAGTGAATTTTAGCCATATTTTAACCAAATTAGCATGGATGATGTATCTAGGGACACTTCCAGACTTGCTTTGGATTCTGAATCTGACGTACATTTTCCAGATGAGTGACCAGGGTAATTTTTTTGGAGTAGCTATATAATATTATGGCCTGTTATGATTAAACTTGCATAGATGGTGCTTCTAAGGATGAAAACTTCCAGACTTGCTTTGGATGTTGGAACTGACCAAAATTTTTATTGCTTACTAAACAGGTCAAAAGTTTTTTGAGTAGGTCTATAATTAAATCAAACTTGCATGGATATTGATCTTGGGATGTACCCTAACTAGAAAAAAAATATGATGTGAAATTTGCCTTACATATAGATAACATTCGTCAAGGTGAGCTTCGTAATCTTTGATTACCTATGTTTATATTTGGTTTTTATATATTCGTTGATACATAAAATAATATATTCTTTTTTTATGCCCCGCCATGAATATGGCCGGGGCATATAGTGTTTGTCATGTCCGTCTTCCGTCCTTCCGTCCTTCTGTCCTTCCGTCTGTCCTTCCGTCACACTTTGCGTTTAGCTCTGTTCAAAGCTCAGTTTCAAAGAAACTATCCAAGATATTTTTATCAAACTTCATATGCTGATAGATATTGATGAGGGCTATGCAACTGCATCAACATTTTTTGACCTTGACCTTTCTTTTGACCTTGACCTCACTTTTCTTAAATTAGTGTTTAGCTCAGTTTTAAAGATACCATTCAAGATAGTGTAATGAAACTTCATATGTTGATACCTACTGACGTAAGCTATTCAACTGCATCAACATTTTTTGACCTTGACCTTTCTTTTGACCTTGACCTCACTTTTCTTAAATTAGTGTTTAGCTCAGTTTTAAAGATACCATTCAAGAAAGTGTAATCAAACTTCATATGTTGATACATACTGATGTAAGCTATTCAATTGCATCAACATTTTTTGACCTTGACCTTACTTTTGACCTTGACCTCACTTTTCTTAAATTAGTGTTGTGCTCAGTTTTAAATATACCATTCAAGATAGTGTAATCAAACTTCATATGTTGATACATACTGATGTATGCTATTCAATTGCATCAACATTTTTTTGACCTTGACCTTTCTTTTGACCTTGACCTCACTTTTCTTAAATTAGTGTCAAACTTCATATGCTGATACGTACCGATAAGAGCTATTCAACTGCATCAATATATTTTGACCTTGACCTTTTCTTTGACCTTGACCTCACTTTTCTTAAATTAGTGTTTAGCTCATTTTTAAAGAAACCATTCATAATATTTTCATCAAACTTCATATGCTTATACATACTGATGTAACCTTTTGAACTGCATCAACATTTTTTGACCTTGACCTTTCCTCTGACCTTGACCTCACTTTTCTTTAATTAGTGTCAAACTTCATATGCTGATACATACCGATGAGAGCTATTCAACTGCATCAATGTTTTTTGACCTTTACCTTTCCTTTGACCTTGACCTCACTTTTCTCAATTTGTGTTAAAATGTTGCATTACTAATATACCCTCGGCGGGGCATTCATGTCCTATGGACATATTTCTAGTTTTTAAGTAGAACAATGCATAAAAATTGGATCCTATATTCACCATTTTTCACTTAAAGATTAATTTTGATCTCCTTACATTATGTTAACTTAACCATCATTTAGCTGTTGTACTTAAACCAGGGGGATGACTAAATGATTTAAAGTAGATTTAAAGATGCATTTAGTTTTGTAATAGCTAAGCTGTACCAGTCGTAGTTCTAATTGTAGTAATCTAGTAATGTCAATACAATATTTCAGGTGGACCCAGCACTGCTGTATCATCTCTATCAATGGATATTACCATCATGTATAAATTGTTAAGGAACTACTCCGACATTACTCCTCCTGGGAATGGATGGGGAAAGGACCCAAAAGTAGAACACATTACGGAGAGTGACGACATAGAGAGGATTCGTTTATATAGAAACAAGTATTCCCATGATGCTGGAAGTAATCTTGTCATGAAGGATAATGTTTTCAGTGCTATCTGGACTGATCTGTCCCAGGTGAGACATTTTAATTTGATGCATCTTTTAAGTAAAGTAAATCATATGTTACTTTATCCATGAGACATTGTCAAATCTAGAATATTCAGTTGATACCAGGGATTTTCCACTGCCCCGTGTAGGGTCGAATTTCGGCCCCATTCCCAATTAAAAAACCCTCCCTTTTTTCCCAAAATTTTACCCCATTTTCCCCCTCAAATTATTTGCTTTTAAAATTCGATCGGGATCGGAATTCTTACAAAAGTACGGGATTGGAATTCACAAAAAACGTATGTAAATGGCCAAGCAGGAGCTTGAGAATTGAGCCACAATATATTCGAAATATTATAGAAAGACCTTGACAAAATCTAAAGGCAACAGGAGCCTAAGAGAGTTTTTTTTAGAGGTAAGTAACAAAGTAAAAAAATATCATTATGTGTTTTAAGCAATGTGACAGTATACCTATATCCATGTCAAATAAATGGCATCGTCCCAAATTTCCTCGAAAACGAAAGGACATCTTATTAAGCTTACAGATTTTACTTTTTTCCATAGCTAAGGGTAATTGTGACGATGAGCTTCAATCAAACGAAAATCAAACTGAAGGAAATGAAATTGAAAACGATAATCAAGCAGAAATTGAATGTGATGAAATCAGTAAAGATGAATCAGAATTGGAGTCGACCTCTCGTCAGTGCATTCAGCTAGCAGTTGATCAGTCTCGGGCTGAAGGAAATCGTGATTCAACAACAAGTGAAAGTGAAAATGAAGACTGCAGTGCCAGATCAGAACTACAAGATAAGAGATTATTCAATGCTAAAAAATATGAGGGTCTGTACAAATGGCTTTATTTCAGCCACACCAAATGGGGCTTTGTATGCAAATACTGTGAAATATTTCATCTACACCTGATCTTCTAGGATCTTCTAGAAAATTTATGGAGAAAGGTGTCAGTTTAGGCACTCATCCAACACGTAAATTACAGAAACATGAAGAAAGCAGAAGACACCAACATGCTCTTCTGAAACATGCAGAAACTGTCACCAGTAAAAGTAGTAGATCTACTTTATTGAATATTTGGAGCTCAATGACCGATGAAAATTCAAAAAATAAAATGTATAATAGAAATTATCTTGAAAAACTCGTTAAATGTGCATACTTCATGGTCAGGAAGAAGTGGGCTTTAACAGAAAATTTTGAAGGTTTTGTGCGTTTTGTTGGTCAGGTTGGATGCCAAGAAATCCACAGATATCTAGAAAATGACCCAAAAATAACTTACCTGTCATCAAAATCAGTGTCAGACATTTTGAAAGATTTAAGTAATGCAGTGGAAGAAAAAGAGGAATGCTCCTTACTTTGCTTTACTAGCAGATGAAAGCACTGACGAGGGAAATCGAATCCAGTTTGCCCTCTTGGCCAGATGGCCCTCGGAAGGGAAATTTGAAGATCGCTACCTAGGTCTCATCAATGTGAAAAAAACTGATGCTCAGAGTCTTTAATAGGCCATTCAACAATTCTTCTTGGCAAAAGGTGTAGATCTGGACAAAGCTAGATTCACAGCATTTGATGGTACTAATACAATGAGTGGTGAAATATCAGGTATGTTAAATTTAGATAACAGTCACTGTGTCCTTATTTCTTAGGTATCTTTCATTTTGCTACAAGTGTAGTTTAAATTTTACATTTGATTAAGATTTTTAAAAAATGACAATTTCATATTTAATTATTTATAATTAAAGAGCTAAATCCACGAAGGGGCTAAATCGGCCTATTTTTTCAGGAAAATTAAACTGAGGGGAAGAAAAAAATTAACAATAGAAACATTATCCTTGGGCATCAAACTTAAATAGTTTATGCCAATTTTTTTTTATTTGATGACGTCATATTTGTACAGAAAACGTCTAAACACGTGCACTTTGCTAATTTTTATCAAAATAAAGCATTTTTTTCGTCTTTGGTTCAAATTTTTGCTGTGGCCACACCCTTCGAACAAAATAAAATTTATACCATTGAAAAGAGGATTAAAATATGAATAAATAAAGTATATTTTTATTTTGTTCGAGGGGTGTGGCCACATCGAAATAAATACTTTTCGTTCGATTCAAATATCTTAGCACCGACTCACACAGTGAAAATAGCGGGGATTACCCTACATTAATAGAAAAGAAAAAGATTCTATATTGTTTTTGTAAATATTAAAAAGTTTCGAAATGCGAATGTTATATTTATTATAAGTTATTTTGTGTTGTGGTGCAAAAAAGTACAAAAAACTCTCGCAAAGTATGACTGCATGTAGATGCAATAATGTCGACATTTTGTGTACTACGCGCCTCAGTCCTGACCCAAGACTTTTCCTTCAAGTAGCTGATCTATATTTAACTAATTATTATGCTGAAATGTTTAAAAAAAATAATGTGTACTCTTTTCCTCTGACAGCCTATTTATTTATGCCTTGAATTTGTATTCCAACTCCCGGCTCCTCGTCACCATGGTCACTATGTAATCAAAGGGAGATCACCCGAGAAACATGTATGCTACATCTTTATTTTCTCCTGAGTGACCGTGTCGGAATAGCGTAGAATATTAAACAAATTACATCGGATGCAACCACCAAGACGTATTTATAATGATTGTTTTGCCACCTTACAAAACATAAATGTCGTGAAGTCTGAGCTGCAACGACAGCATACAAATGGTTAATGTTACGCAATAGAGTCTATTATAACTACATGTATTATTATCATAACCCATACCCAACATGCGTTTCATAAATCGCCAGTGGCATTTTAAGATAAAAGATTAATTAATATTCATGAGTGAAAACCTTTACTGATCAGAGATCTCTTAACATAAATTATGTTACGAAGTACTGAACCTAGAAAATTCGAGTTGACAAATCAAATAAACAATAGATTGATTTTACAGATCGCGTGTAATTTTTGTGATAGGCCTCTATAAGAAAAATGCCCTATATTGTATAAACGAATAACTTACTACCAAGGCAGTGACAACTCTTTATGGTTTTAAGTAATTTCGGTATCGCATGCATGCTGTGACCTAGCCAACACATGAAAAAAAATGTCAAAGGGAGGCTATTTGTTATCTCTTTCTATTTTGAGTTACTCCGCTTAAATGTAACAGGCCCAAGGGAGAGAGGGCAACCAGATTTGCAAGCATGTTTATACATGTACATGTAGTAGTGTAAATTCATAAAGGTGGGATTAGAGCATTGATATAAAATAAGAAGCAAAAAAAAAAAAAAAAAAAAAAAAAATTATTGCATTTACAAAAAAAAAAAAGAAAAAAAGACAGGGGTTATTGGGGGGAGGGGGTTTCGGGATTCCAACTCTCACTCATTACAAACGTGGGACAGTTCGACCAATTACTGCTGCCATTTAAACAAGAAAGTAGTAAAGTGAATAAATAACAATGCCAATTATATTAGTCCTTGTATATATAGTATAAAAAATGAATTCAATAGCAGTTTTCATTTTTTTTTTCAATCTCCTTGATAAAAAATTTAATTTAAAAACGATTGATTTTTCGTGACTCGGTCATTGCATAAATTTATTATAGATCCCAGGCCCGTAGGTAGCAATTTCAGTTTGGGGGGGGGATACATTTTCAGATGGGTGCACTATCAACTGCTAAAATTCCTTGACAAGCAAAAAAAAGGGGGGGGGGGACAAGCATATAGTAGCTTTGTTTTATATAGTATTCTATATATAGGCAGAATTAAGGGGGGGGGGGGGGGCATGGCCACCTCCCGGTTCCTAAGACAATGTATCCTGAATGTATTATTATTATTACCGGATATTACTGCTTATTTTGCCTGTGTATCATATTTGTTTTTTGAAAGGATGTCTATATAGAATATAACTTCATAGATCGGGCATTTGAACATGGTATTTGGGGGGGGGGGGGGGGGTATGGTAATACGCGCTCGACATGTGGTCTATAATTTTTTTTCCGATCGTCTGTAATGATAGCCATTTACTACGGCCAGTAGCTGTTTTTCGTATATTTTTGTTTAATTACAAAGAGTAACGATCCGAAAACGTCCATATGCAATATGTATACGATATTATGATTATTTTATCGTCTTCTGTACTCATTATCGCCTATCTATTTGTAGTTGTGTTAGAAATTGCACATGGAGAAACGAAATTTTATCTTAAGTAATCATATGAAATTTATGAGTAAAATGTTAAAACTGGTTTTGAACTATACGAAAGTCTTAGATGTTGTTATCTTTTAATTTAATTTTCACTTCTCACCAGATAATCATTACTTTATGATTTTATTAAAAGGGTTTATGATAGGTACTCCCCAACATGGTAGTGTGTAAGATACATGTATGATAATATGATAAGAAAACGATTAGTAAGCAATAATTAATTCGATCATATTTGTCATCTGAAATCTCTTCTCATATCTATTGTGGGTATATAAAAAACGTTTCTCTTTGATGATATAACATATTTATCATAATTAGTGAACTTTATTTCGATTAAGTAATTTACATAGAGTAAAGTGGTATACATGTCATTTCCGTTTATCTTGTTGTTTTTTTTAACTTCTGGTTCCGTTTTGAAATTCAAATACTTTGGAAATCTTGTGTTTTCGTTGGACTCTTAATTTTTTGCGGCCGATTTGATGCTTTGCATCACTTTTGTTTAAAAGTCTGTAGTGGCTTCTTCCCTGTCAATCTCTGGTGCGCAGGATTGCCGTCAAACTTTACATTTTACGTGTACTACATGTATGAACTACAATTTCATTTCAAATGTCCGGGAAATGTCATAAATTTCGGAAGTGCAACGAAATTCTCAAAATGACAATAAATAGATGGTAACTTTAAACGTATTCATTTTTAATGGACCTTTTCATTTTAATTTTATGTTTTCGTTATTGAAGAGTACTTGTGTATTTTCTGCAAAAAAGTCTATTTTTTGTTTGTACGCCGTATGACCATACAATAACATATTTAAGAATGATAAAATCCTTATCCATGTCTACTATAGTATATATATTACTACATTAATTCAGTTTTACTCAAATATGATGGATTAACACTTGTGTTTGTTTTCAGCTTAACGTGAATCTTATTATCATTTAAAACGTGTTACATGTATCAACGATTATACCAGACAAACGTATATAACAAATATTTGGCATTTCTTTAGAGTACAAATAGCTTTAATTAACAAATAAACCAAAAGTTTTCAGAACTTCTTGAAAAATTCATAGTTTAAATTTTCCCAAAATTTTAAAGAAGAGCCTATATTGGTTATTTGTATTCCATTAACGTACAGATGTTACTTTCTTATACAAAATGTCAACGTCACGACGTTAAAGTATGTAACGTCAACGTTATGACGTGATACTTTTAATAAGGAAAACAATACCAAATTTAAATGACTGTAAAAAGAAAACCAAAAGAGATATTGTTAAAAAATAAATTGTTTTACAACATACAAATCTTATAGTTTTATGTGAGAAAGTTTCATTTATTTTGATAACTGGGCCGATTTAGCCCCTTCGTGGATTTTGCTCTTTATAAATTTTAGGTTTGCAGAGAAGAGTACGACATATTTCTCCTCATTGTTTATACATAAACTGTCGAAACCATCTCCTGGCTTTATGCTTAAAGCATCTGATGCCAACATATTCATCCTTGAAAGATGTTGATAGTGTTCTTTTGTCTCTCTGGAAGTTATTTGAATACTCACCTCGCAGACTCACGATGTTCCAAGAAGACCTTCAAGAGATGTATGTAATGAAGTCATACGCACTAGTGAAAGCCATGTCTACACGATGGTTATCTCTTGAAATAGCCTGTGGGAGAGTTATTGACAGGTATGGGACAATAATTGACATTTTAGATGAGATATATGATGAAAAGAAACAACCAGAAATATACAGAATTCGCTTTTGTTTGACCCAGCAAAATACTGTTGCCATGATGATGTTATTGTGTGATGTTTTGAAACCGTTGTCACACTTGAGTGTGTATTTACAAGGAGAGTATGTAAATTTTACACACATTGGCACACACGTCAGACATGCAAATGATACTCTCCATGACATTATACAAAAAGTGCAAAGACCAGAAATTGATCCTGAGCTTAAGTTTTCCAAGATTCAGGAGCTGTTTGATGAAATTACTGACAGAACACAGTTGGCCATGAGACGTAAAAATCTTCAGCACACAACTCCAGACGACTTCTTAAGAACCATAGGAGTCCCATTCATTTATTCATTGATTGCTGAAGTGGAAGATGCTTTTAGATGCACACCAGTTTTGCAAGCACTAGGAATACTAGACCCTAGAAATTTACCAAAGAATATACAAGAAATCCCTGGCTTTGGAGATGTAAGCATATGACAAGCCAAAGTTCTTTTTTTTAATAAATCTAAATAAATTCAGTTCTATTAATTTTTCAATCATAAAAGAATTTATAATATTGAATTTTAATTTAAAGGATGAAATGGACAGGATAGCCAATTTTTATGGAAACCCAAAGGAAGATACATTTATGAACTATGTCACAAGATGTGGCAGTGACCTGAATGCACCTGTCAAGGTGTGTGCTGAGTTTAAAGCATTCAAGCATCAGATGTTTATAATGAGGTAACTTTTTCAAGGTCATTTATAATTAAAATTGAAAATTTCAATGTAATTACTCATAAATTATTTTTGATTCATGTAACATTTATTGTTGATTTTATATTTATCAAGAATTGTTTTTTTTTTCTAAATGTTACATCTACTAACTTATTTTATTTTTTAATTAAGCATTTTTTTAGTTTGTTACTGTAACACACTGACATCTCTTTGATTTCAGCATTCATCCCTGAAAAATAACACCCTTACAAAACAGGTAACTTCCATGGATAATGTATGAGGATCATCAAATATAATTTATATCTATTGACTAGATTAAAGAGAATTACATGTATATTTATATCTTATACTGAATTTTTCATAAACTCTTTGGTCTATATATAAGAAATCTTAAATGATTTTGATACTGATTCATTGATTATATTATTTCATGATTATAGTGATAATATTGATAGTTATTATTATACCATTCATAAATTACTTTTAGATCAAGGGGCATTGATTCACCTTTGAAACAGTATCAACATATGAGAGAGGACCCAATCTTAAGAAACAGTTTCCCAAATATGATGCATCTTCTTGGACTGGCCCTTACAGTTCCATCAACAACAGCAGCAGTTGAAAGATCTTTCAGTTTAATGAACTTGCTGTGCACAACCTTGAGAAATAGGCTTATTAACTGTTCATTAGATCATTTAATGAGAATCTGCAGTTGTTCAAATGGGGAAGAATTAAATCGGGAAATCTTGGACAGAGCAATTAAATTTTTATAACACAAAAGAATAGATTGGTTAAATTTTAAGGTTTTGTTTTGGCAATAAACTTTTTTCTGACTCACCAACAGTGTTTAATTCTTGAAATATAGTCTTACAGTAGCACATAAAAATTTCCCAATTTTTGATAAATCGTCGTAAAATTCCCAATTCCAAGGGCCCGGGCCCCATTCCCAAATTGGTGTGGAAAATCCCTGGATACTTTCTAAATTCAGCGCAGAATCCAAAGATTTAGCAGGAAATGATCCATTTTCAACTTTGTAAACTTAACATTTTCCCCATAACTAGGATATGGTGGCGTATTCGTATGTGTTAAAAGTATCAAAAGGGGACTTAAAACAGCATTTAGAAATCGTCTAATGAACAACCGAGCCAGGAAGCTTTGATAAGGAAATTCTTATTTTCTTTAATTTAATGTTAATGCTTATAAGTCGAAGGAATTCATCACAAACTCAAGTAGAGGGGTCAATTAAAAAACAAAATGTATTTCTCCCCAAAAAAAGGCCTAGGATTGTCAAATTATTACAATGATTTATGAACATGACGAACAGTAATCAATCTCAAAAGTTAATTGAAACAATACAAGTTTTGAGCAGAGCAAACACGAACCTCTGAAAACATCAGAGGTGGGAACAGGTGTTAAAGCATCCCTTGCCGACCGGTCACACCCGCCATGATAGCCCCCCCCCCCCCCAAAGTAAAGTTTGTTTGTATGTTGTTTAACGTCCCTCTCGAGATTTTTTCACTGATATGGAGACGCCACCACTTGCCAGTGGAGAGCTACAAATTTTGTCCTATACTCGGCACTTACAGCCATTGAGCAGTGAGGGATCTTTTTTTGTGCCAGCATCTACTACGACACGGGACCTTGGTTTTTACGGTCTAATCCGAAGGACCAATCTCCACGTCCCACAGTGGGATTTGAACCCGCGACGTAAGGATTAAACTCCTTACTCCGCAACTCTAGAGCAGACGCTCTAACCACTGTGCCACGCGGGCGACAAAAAGGAAAGTAGAATTCAATATGAAAATAATGGCCAATCAATTTCTATGAAAAACGACATTTACCATTGACTGAATTTGCTAACAAGGTCATCGACCATAGAATTTGTGAAATGTTGACTTTTAACGAGACTGTTAATATTCTTGTGTCTTCAACTTATTTATCCATAGCTTGTCTCGTTTTTAAAATTGTTCGTATGTAGATCTGCATATCTAATCAACTGGGAGACGCATAAACTCCATGTAAAGATGATAGTGGTATATTGCTACATAAATAAAGGAAATTGACAATAGGAAAATTGAGGTCATCGTGTTTCTCATAAAGTTTTGTTGTTAGATTACCATTAACGCCCTTTTTTCTTGTAAAATATCCAAATATGAAACAGATGTGTCAGACTCTGTCGTATCTTTCATTTTGAGCTCACAGGGATAATTATATCAAGTCAACGTAGGAATGAAAATGAATATTTATGTTAATTGATAATACATTTTCGATATATCAAAATTTTGAATTGAAGGCCACAGCAAGAAAGTTTTTTCATTTCATGTGGAAGACTTTGAATATATTCTGCTTCATATGAATACAAAAAAGGTCTGCTAATAATGGGGCGCACTTAGTTACCATGGTATTCCGACAGATTGTCGGAAGACTTGATCTCCAAAAAAAAACTACCTTGATATTGTTAATCAGAATAATAATAATATAACTATAGGCCCCATGTTATGTAAATTCTCATTTTCTTTCCAAATGTTTGCTCTTTGGGCCGCAAGAAGGTTCACAGGGTCATTCAAGTCTTTTAGAAGGGTATAGATTGGAGGAAAATATTACTTATAATTGGATCTGTAATAGAATTTTATTAATTGTAATCTTCAAATGTCCAGTAAAGTTTAAGGACACTTGATTCATACTCAATGTATCCCCACACTTCTTGTTTGTTTGTTTTTTTAAATTTATTCAAGAAACATGCAACTTTTTCAGACAACATGGAGCCTTTTTCTTGCAAATCATATTGATTTTTTTTCCAGGCCATAATAAGACTGAGTGCTGGTGTATTGAAAAGAAGGATCAGTGAAATATAAGTGTGGAACTTGCTGAAATTCACGATGAGTTTTGAGAAGATTCTCTTTGGTAACTCGTAATCAAGACAACATTGACTGTAGTGTTCACGAATTAGTTCATGTACGACTTATTTAACCGGATGTTTCCAGGTTTACAGTTTTTGTTTTGTTTAATACATTTAAGTTCTCCATGCTGGCGCAGGATGCAGCGCATGTTTGCAGCTACGACTTAAACATTGTCCATCCGGCTGAGAGCACATTGTAAGCTTTTTATGTTTGTAAATGTTTATATGATTATAGTATTTGATTTTGCTTAAATGTTTGCATAGGTGTCATACGTTTTGTGTATTTTCTAGTCGTTTCTTAAAAATAGCAGATACCGCCAAATTTACAGTGTATGATTTTGCATTGATATATTTGCATAGTTTGCTCTATGAGATATTATGAGATCTCATAACTATAAATTCAAGTGTGTTTCGGCTTAATCATGTTAATATATTCTTATAAATTTCAAAATGTATGTAAATCAGATAAATGGCAATTGATTGATTATCTAGTCAAGGTATTTGTGTATGAATATCCTATGACTGTCTGTTATGTGTTTATGTATCAGTTCATTTTGTATATTTTAGCCTTTCACCACATTCTTCAATAAACTTGAAACACAGTTTGAATGGGTGGTTAGCTGTTTATACGCCGTGAGATTGACTGTAACCTTAGGATAAAAATCCTAGTTAATCAAGTTTACATGAATAACTCCTTCTTTTTATGCTTTTTTTTTTTGAGTTCGCTTTAAAGAAATCAAAAATTGCATGTTTAACAAAATATTTGGCAATTATATGGGGTTTTAAGAATTTTTATCTGTTCATCATAAGTAATGAAGTAATGTTTCGAAAAATACATTCTCTTTTCTTTTCCGTAAGCGATGCCAAGGCTTCCTAAAAATGACTTAAGTGCGCATTTCCATTGCTCTAGCTGGAAAAATATCAAAATAAAGGTGATGGAGAGTTAGAGATGCAAATATGCAACACATCACGCCTCAACAGGCTCTTACATATCATTAGCATGAATTACAGTCATTGAACCGGAAGTCCAAGGGTTACTACACTGCGCTTGGTTAGAGAAAATTCGACCCCATCATCTGAAAAACAGGCATTTAAAAATGGCAAAGAATAATTCTTTCGCTCAGATCTATAGATTTATGAACCTACTGCATCGTAGAAATCAAGCTGCAACTGTTCTACATGGCAGTCTTGCACGCTGTAATTGAATGGCCGGGGTGGGGGGTGTTTTAACATTCATGTGTTACTTTCTGAAGCTAAAAGATTATAATTTAACATTTTTATCAAATATCTGATGTTTATAAATCGAGTTTTACCTTACTATATTCATTTTTGAAAGTTATTAGATAAAAAATTCAAATATTTATAGAGTACTGCTTGTTGCGTTTCTTTTGCGTTTCAGTATAACATTCATTCTAACTCTATCGCTACAAACATGCTTCATTTTTTTTTCAAGACTTCCTGACAGCTTCCACTACACTTCTCCCATTTACGCACAATTTTTTTTTTATCTAGTGTAAAATTATGTTTGATAATATACAAAACTCTACTATATACGTGACTGACTTCTTATAATTTACATCTATATTACCTAACATTTTTGCACTAATTTTTTTTTCCGCATCCCTGCCATTTCCTGACAACTTTCATAAAGAGCCAAGCATTTTATGGAAATCACCAATTTCTATTTATAGGCATTCCTTTTCATTCAAGACTGACCTTTTTGATTTCATTGGGAACTTGTATTATATTTTCTTAGGTGCATATATTGCACATAAAAGTCATTTTTCATGTTCATCACTCTAATTTTGAGACAAAAGGTTTACCAAATCTGTCAAGATATATATAAAAAAAGGTGTTGTGAATTTACAAAATTTGACGACATACCTGTAGTTTAAAACTGTCCTTTCCCGAGAGACTTTCAGATTGTTTCGTGTATATTTCAACTCTTGTAATTATGTTCCTTATAGGGTTTTTATCACGTATCTAAATTTCTAAAAAAAAAAAAAAAAAAAAAAAAAAAAAAAAAAAAACACTTTTATATTTTTGAAACATATAATTATTGTTTAATTATGAAATAAGTTTGAAAACGGGCGTAATTAGACGATAAAAGGCCCGTATTATAGGGTCCTCGAACTAAAAATTTCCACTATTTAGATAGGGTGACGTGGTACTGAAACGTCATAGGTGTCAATTGTCAAATAGTACTCGTAAAGCTTATCGTAAAAAAAATATATTGAATAGATTTTTACATTAAATAAATAGACTACACAATATTGCCGGTTGAAATTTTGACATCGACCATATTTCTTTGGTTATGGACAGTCAATCTTTTATGTATGAACGTTTAGAAGAGAGAAATAACCAGAAAATATGCCGACAACTGAACTCGGGACTTCGACTAATTAGAACGAATTACTAAAGTTTAACTTCGTAAATATTTATAAATATGTGAATTTTAAATTCTCCTTCATTTTTTCAATTATGTAAATATAAATAAATGCTGTATATCTTCTATCTGTTCCAGCACTGATTATCATGTATTATCAATGACACCTCTTCAATGGCGCCGTACGCCATTACGAAGTTCACAAAATTCCTACTAGATTCTGTGCGACTTTTTTAAAAATGCGTGTTGGTCATTTATTTATTTATTTATTTTTTAAAAAGGTATCTTTTCCTTAAAATATTTTGTAGTACAATTCGTGATAGGGCATAAACAATTGTTCTGAATGGAGATAAACTCCGTGGCGTTTGCAGAAAAAGGCTCCTCTTTCATCTCTATACCAAGTCCAGGAAATGTAGAAAAAAATCTTCCTAAAACCTTTCTTGTGCACATTTGTGCATCCTAAAGCCACAAATTATACCTTACTAGCTGTCAATTATCCATTTATCACTTGATTATTTTCTAACAAGTTTAACAGACGCAACAAATGAGCCCTTTTGTATACACAATAAATACTTCCCTTGACCAGGATTGACACCTATGACGTCAGTGCAATGGCGCATAACATCGGCGATCAAAATTATGCATATTGAGAAAATCCAACTTTGAATCGCTGAAACATCAAACAATATTGATTTTCTAGCAAGAATTTTAAATATATGATTTAAATAACATGTAAGCTTTGTCATATCAAAAGTTTTGAAACGTGATAAAAATTCTTTATCAAACATAAAAAAAGTAAAAAAAAAAAAAAAAACATACAAAGAAAAATTATATGAATGGAAAATAATGGTCTGATCTCGGAATTATGATTCATGTATTTTCAGTCCATACTCAAATAAAATTATCAAATAAAATAAAATTATTCATAAAATGTTTTGTTCTGGTCCAGGATGGTCTTTGGTAACAGTTTGTCATAGTTTAGTTAGCGACCTTAATATTAACTATATAACCCATTCAAACCTTATGATTCTCATACTAATCGTTTAAAGGAACTATTAATATCTAAATATCATTAAAGTGTAGTTTGAGTTTATACATGTTTATACTGAGATTATATGACAAAATTCTGGTTAAGAAATGATACTACTATCGTAGGCGAAAATGCCTATCAAATACGCCATGACTCTTTCATTTTTATTCATTTTTCAGGGATGTCAACCAGTATTTGAGTACTTGATTATCGTTTGGTCATACTAACTAATCGACTGTATATGTTTTACTCTGTTAAATCTGCTTCTTAATCCTAATAATGACATTGGATTCACCTTATTTCTATACGCACCAGTGTTTTTTTTAATGTTTACTCGCGTAAGGGTAGGATTTAAAACCGTTCTTGGTTCATTGTTCTTACTAAGAAATATTTGCATATTTACTTTTGATCATCAAGCATACATGCACTTTCAGAATCTGCAGTCGTGGTATATTTCAGAAGGGTTTACAATCGAAAGATTAAATGATGAAAATGTTGTTAAGCTCATTTATTACCATTTCAACAGTGAAATACTGTGATTTATTTATTGAATAAAAATAATATTCTCTCACAGTGTGAAATGATACCAAAGTGAAATTCTCGCACAGTGTGAAAGGATATCAATCTAAGTAAAAAATATTTGGCCTGTCGTAAGATAGAGATAGTAACTAAACCGCCTTGATAGAGACTAAAACTGCCAATTTCTTCCAAAATATGTAGCTAAAATCCATGCTACAATGTTTTCAGTCTCGCAATTGCTAAGCTATGACGTCTCAAACGCTCAACTATGACATCACAGCCTGTGACACTGTGTTAAGAAAAGACAGAGGGAAAGAGAAAATCAAAGAATATGTAATAAACAGAAAATTCAATGTTTTTAGCTGAATATGCAATTTATTTCACTCGTGAGACAGGATTTTTTTTTTATATTTTCACTCGTGAAAATATGAAAAAAAAAATCCTGTCCCACTCGTGAAATAAATTCCATATCCAACTAAAAAACATTGAATATCTTCTTTATATCATTTTACATGTAAGGATTAAAGGCTGACATCCATCAAATTAAATGAAATCTCAAATTGACACTTTTCTCATGTTTATCTTTACTGGTCAGAACCCATAAGAGCTTAAGCAATGGTAAGATGTCCATCGTCCGTCCGTCTGTCTGACTGTCTGTACGTCTGTCCGTCGGTAAACAATTTTTTTTCGAAATGCTACTCCTCCTACAATTTTTGTGTGATTTCAATATAACTTAGCACACAAGTAGACTACACAAAGATTCCTGATTCCGTGTATTGCTTTTGATTCCGATGAACGGTGTTGCCATGGCTACTAAAAATAGATACCTCTGTGAAGTACTTTCAAAACACTACTAGTCCTACAGTTTCGGTCTGATATCAAAATAACTTGACACACAAGTAGACTACACTAAGATACATAATTCTGTATTTCAGTTTTTGATTTCGATGAATATATATATATATATATATATATATATATATATATATATATATATATATATATATATATATATATATATATATATATATATATCTCACCAAAAAAATCACAACACCGAAATAAACTCTACCGGTTTCATTTTCAATCTTCAGGAGTTTGACAACATATTGATGTGTAACAAAGCCATATTGTCAAACTCCTGAAGATTGAAAATGAAACCGGTAGAGTTTATTTCGGTGTTGTGATTTTTTTTTATATACGACTACGTGTTTGGAGATATATATATATATATATATATATATATATATATATATATATATATATATATATATATATATATATATATAAAAGTCCAAAAAATCACAAAATATTTTCTGCAAGCGCTTTCGCCATGTTAGGCTCTTCAGGCAGTTATACAATTGTCAGGTAGGTTACCTGGTAACGTCCAAAAGCAAAAGTTCATTGTGACGTCATAATAGATCAAGGTAGC